TCGTATTTCCTTTCCCCAGTTCCTCGAAGTGCCATTTTCGGGTGTTGGCGGGTTGGTCTCCAAAAATCGTGCACATGTTTCAACTTCAAGAAAACTTGAGTGAACTGATTGGGATTGTACAATGCATGCCTCATGTGCATCAGATGGACCGTGAAGTAGGAATGTTTCCTGTACTGCATTGTCAATAATGTCAACTTGGTAACAGCTGTCTAATTCTGCTGGTAGTTTCATTGCCTTGAATACATTGAACGATATCTGCTCCTCTCCCAATCTTAAAATCAACTGCCCCCTTTGAATGTCAATTAACGCTCTTCCTGTGGCCAGGAACGGTTTGCCAAGTATCAATAGGACATCCTTGTCTTCTTCCATGTCGATGATAAGAAAATCTGCTGGGAATATGAACTTTTCGACCTTGATGAGCACGTCTTCAATTATCCCTCTAGGGTGTGTCAGTGATCTGTCTGCCAGCTGAAGTGTCACAGTGGTTGCTTTAGCTTCTCCCAAGCCGAGTTTCCTAAAATCAGACAGAGGCATTAAATTAATACTTGCACCGAGGTTACATAATGCTTTATCGAAATATACTTCACCGATTTTGCAAGGAACAGTAAAACTCCCTGGATCTTTTAGCTTTGGTGGGAGCTTATTCTGAATTCTGGCACTACATTCCTTCGTAAGCATAACTGTCTCATGGTCCTGCAGCTTGCGTTTATTTGATATAATATCCTTGAGAAATTTCGCATAGCTAGGCATCTGAAACAGTGCATCGGCTAGTGGGATGTTGATATGGAGCTTCTTGAAGACTTCTAGGAATTTTTTGTATTGTTGCTCCACTTTTTGCTTCTTCAAGCGCTGTGGAAAGGGAATCGGAGGCTCGTATGGGTTGACTGTGACCTTGGCTTTGTCCTGTGATTTTTCGTTTGGAGTTGATTTCTTCACAGCAGTTTCATTTTCTGCAGAGGCGGATGTCTCTACAGTCACACTTGGTCTCTTGACATGGATTTCCGATAATTGCACTCCTCTTCGAGTTGTAATAGCTTTAGCTTTCTCTTTGGGATTGATTTCTGTATTGCTTGACAAGTTACCTGGCATTCTGCCAGTCAATGTGATGACTAGCTGCCCCATCTGAGTTTCCAAATTTTTGATGGCTGCATTTTGATTTCGAGGTGTAGCTTCGGCTTTCTCCATGAATTTTCCTATCACATCTTCCAATTAAGACCTCTTCTCTTGGTGAAATTGCTCCTGTGGCTTATTCTGATTCTGGTTGCTCTAAGAGAAGTTGGGATGCTTCTTCCAACTGGGATTGAATGTCTCTCCATATTGATTGTGTTGTTGGTGTTGTCCCCACTGTGCATAGTCTGCTTGCTCAATTCCTTGCATAAGTATTGGGCAATTTGATGTTTTGTGCTCGGCTCCACATTCCTCACAATTGCTCTTCTTAGTTTGTGATATGCTTTCCACCTTGTGATACAGAGAGTCGATTTTTGCATATATTGCTGAATAAGCGTCCACCTCTTAGACACCTGGAGTTTTCTTTGGGATCGCCCTCTCAGAAGACCACATGGCTGATGTGGTGGCCATTCGCTCAAATAATTCCAATGCCCCATCAACTGTCCGTGTGGATATTGAGCCATCTGATGCTGAATCCACCATGTTCTTATGGTATGGAAGTAATCCTGTGTAGAAGAATCAGATTTGGGTATTTTTATCGAACCCATGCTGAGGGCACTTCCGGAGCATGTTTTTGAATCTGTTCTAGGTTTCGTCAAATGATTCAGTTTCTCCTTGATTGAATACTGATATGTCACGTCTCAGCTTCGCTATTTTGGCTAGGGAGAAAAACTTTGTGCATAATTTGTGTGCCAGCTCGTTCCATGTAGTGATACTTGCAACCGGGAGTGAATCCAACCATTCAAGTGCTCTGTCTCGTAACGTATGTGGAAAAAGCCTTAACCTAATAGCGTCATCCGAAATCCCTTGGTATCTAAAATGTTGACACATATCTAGAAATCGAGATACGTGTGTGTGGATTATCCTCGGCTTTGCCATAAAATTGGTGTCCATTTTGAAACAACTATATCACATTGGTCTTTAATTGAAAATTGGGCTGCCCAAACAGTGGATATACAATGCTAGATTGGCTTTGAATAACTTGAGGAGTCAAGAAGTCCCCCAGAATTTCATTTCCTTCGTCCATTGCCTCTCCTTCGTTAGCTTGAATAATAGGATTGTTTAATTCGTTGACCATTTGTACTTGTACTTTGCGGCGATCTTTTTGTCGTCGATGAAAGGTGCGCTCAATTTCAGAATCAACGGGAATCAATTCTCCTCCAGGCAATCGTGACGTGCAAATCTGAGAATTAAAACCAGTACGAGCACTGAGATTCAAACAATTTAAATAACTAAGACACAAATAAAGGATAGTAACCTAAAATAAAAAAAAAAAGAAAAAAGAAAATTATACTAGCAAAATAAAATTTGAGTTCGAATTAGTGCCTCGAGAAATCAAATTAAACTAAACTTAATCCCTGACAACGGCATCAAAAACTTTTTCATGAACTATTTTCTTTCGATTTTAAACCACCGCAAGTGTACAGTTCGTTAACAAGTAATAAAGTGGATTCAATGAGTCCGAATATCGTCCCACAGTGATCGATTAGTTCAACTTTTATCTAACGTAGCCTTAACCGAAATTGGATTGTCAAAGTGGATGTGGACCTATTTAAAACCCTAATTTCAAAAGGAAACCCTAATTACGTAATTTTAATGAGTAAATTGAAATTAAAAATCAAAATAATATTTTAAGACTCTAGAGTAAAATTAAATGTTGAGAACGCACGTTCTTATAATCAATAGAATTTAACATACTAGGATCACGATTTTCCATGCAATTATCACTTTAAACCCTAGTTTCACAATATGACAACACACTACAATTGTGACGAATCAATGTTCCTAAATCTATCCAATACTCTCTTTCGAGATGTATCAAACATATTTTTTACATACCACCGGTCTATATTTCTATGACAAGAGCATATGTAAAAATGCATGCGACTTTATGAATACTTAAATATTTACATAGGGCATAGCGATATATTTATATCCCTTATGGGGCCCTACGATGATTTATAATATGTCAAATCTATTCCAATTCTCTCGAATGCAAGAATAAATCAGTTAAATTCACACAATTACGAGCCCTTAATTGCGGAAACATTAATTGCATATAAATCATTCAAAACAATAAAAATGTGTCTTAAAATTCAAATAGCAAAACTAGGATATTAAAATTCAAATTACATGGTTCATCGATTTCCTAGTATAATAAAAATCTAGCCTAGCATGATTAAAATAACAAAATACATCAAGTTTTGAGTAATAAGTATCACCGGATTAGAAAAACTTGAAGAAATCTTGAAATTCCAATAGCCAATCTTCATTATTGCGCTCCAAATCTTCTTCAAGATGTGTTTTACTGCCTCCCAATGCGTTCTGGTCGTCTCTGGACTTTTTTTGATATTTATATCCCGTGAATATTAGGTTATCAAAGGAGTTTTAATTGTATAAGGAAAGAAAATTTCGTATCGGACAAATTGTCATGCGACCGCATGGTTATTCCATATTTCCACTTAAATTCCCTGCATCCATTCGTGCGACTGCACGAGAGTTCTACCATGCGATCGCATGGTAGACTTCAACTTCCAAAAGCTGTAATTTAGTCCCTTTACTTGAATCTTTTACCTCTAGGCCTCTTTTCTTCACTCTTTCCATTCCATCATCCCAAAACATCATCAATTGGCATTTGGTTCAACCAATTCCTTGATTTGTTCATCGGGTCAACTTTTGAGTAATTGCACCTTGGTCCTTGAACTTTCACTTTGTGTCATTTTAGTCCTTTTTCTCGCCTTTTCTCATATATTTCACCATGTTCATCGGTGTTCCCTACAATTCACAAATGTAACGAAATTAAGTCACAATTCAATCATTTTGTTCGTAATGAAGTCATGTTTGTGACCTAAATAAGTGTGCAAAAACACACTTATCATGAGTTTGCACCAGACATTGGAGTTTGACTGAACATCATTGTGATGAAGTTAAGAATTTAGAGAATATGTAATTGGAGAATTTTTGTAATAAGCATATGGGCTATCGGTCAATTTAGACTTTTTGACTATTATTGGGGCACTTGGGGAAAGGTAGATAATAAACTTACCTATTTAGATGATATAAAAGATAAGGCTTTTAAGCCTGGTTAAGAATTTAGATTGACTACACGAATTCTTTGTTATTAGTTGGTCCAGTTCATTACTAAAATATACTGGTAGCAAGAATATCAAACAGTATTTTTATTTTTTTTTAATTCCTTTTCTGGTGCCCACACTCAGGGGTACTGTCTCACAGTAATCTATGAAGCTTTTTTTGTACCCACACTCACATGTACAGATTTCATTCTCTGTAGTGTGAATTGCGTTTCTTCATGACCTTGGTCTACTTAAACTTATTGGTCCATCCTGTGTACATCCATTATGAAAGTTGGTAAATTGTAATTGAATTATCTCAGATGATTACTTAGGCGTTTGTTTCTCATTTTTACAAAAATGAGAATGAAAAAATTTAAGTTTCTGTAAAAGTTCACATATTTCGAAATCAATTAATGATTTGAAATTGAGCTATACGTACAACGGCACAAACTCCGGGGATTCTTAAAATTTTCCTGATTGAGAGGGTATTTTCAAGAGATTTTTCACCACCAAAAAATTGATTTTTTTGTCTGTTATTTTATTATTTCAACAGTAAAGTTTGACTTCTTCATTCACAAGTAGCCCCACTTTTCTTCTAACAATTTTTAAAATCTCTTTCAAACTGGGGCTGAGATTGTAAAAAATGAAGGATTCCTTTCTACCGAATTTAATATTTCTCAAAGTAATATCTAAAGTGTTCCATTGGTATTTTGACTGTTTATAAGTCATAACAATATTGATATTGCATGATATTTGCAGGAAGCCATGGTGGATAAGGTGTTAGAATTGGGTGCACCGATATTCCAAAACATTGTTGCACGGCTATGCCCAAACTTGGAAGAAAAAAGGAAGACTCTTCAGAAAAATATACGATTACTGAAAGGTCGAAAAGATGATGTTGATGAAGAATTACGTCATTCTGGAAAAAAACGCAAGAGAGAGGTTGAAGATTGGAGGAATGATGTTGAAAACATTATAAAACAGTTTGAAACCTTGGAACCAATAAGCAGCAGATTTTATCATGTTTTCAAACGACAAAAGTTGGCTGAACAGCTTGAAAGAATGATTGAGGAAGTGACGGTGCTCGTTGAACGAAGAAATTTTCCTAGCGGACTTTTTCTGGAGGTTGATGAGAGTATTGACCGTTTATTGTTAATACCCCGACCGAATGGCCAAGCATTTCAACAAAATTTTGATGACATTTGGACATCATTAATGGATGCCAACGTAGTAAGCATTGGCATTTATGGAATGGGGGGAGTAGGCAAGACGACTCTGGCAAGGCATGTCCATGATAAGCTAAAAGAATCCTTGCGTCATGTTTATTGGGTCACCGTCTCTCAAGAGTTCAGCATTTACAAATTGCAAACTGACATTGCTCGTGAACTGAATCCAGATATCACATGTGAGAATGATGAGGGGAAAATGGCAGCTAAACTCTTCCAGGAATTCCAGAAGAAGAAGAGATTTGTGCTTATACTGGATGATGTTTGGGAACGTATTGATGCAGAGAAGATAGGCATTCCTTCTAAAATGGATGGAAGCAAGTTGGTCATAACAAGTCGATTAGAAAAAGTTTGTCATCGTATGTGCTGCAAAAAGATTATAAAAGTGAACACGCTTTCCAAGCAAGAAGCTTTGGACCTATTCTTGAAGACGCTTGATTGTGGTGAACCTTCTTTAGAAGTAAAGATTTGCAAGAAAATGGTAAAGAGATGTGGTGGTTTGCCACTTGCAATCATCACATTGGCTGGAAGCATGACAGGCGTGATTGACATTCATGAATGGAAAGATGCATCGGAAGGGCTTAAAAAATCGTGTTTGGGACGAGCCGACATGAAAGATGAGGTTTTGCCAATTCTCTTGTACAGTTATCATCGGTTGAGAGATAAAAGGCTAAAAAGTTGTTTTTTGAATTGTTCTTTATATCCTGAAGATTTTCGTATTTCAAGAGAAGAATTGATTCAACATTTCATGTTAGAAGAGCTGATGGAGCGAAGATTAAGCTGGGAAGCTGAATTCAACCAAGGTCATGCAATACTAAATCAATTGGTGAGAGCCTGCTTATTGGAAACTGATTCAGATGGGAGGCTGAAGATGCATGATTTAATCAGAGAGATGGCAATAGGGATCACTAAAGACAACCCCCCGAGGTACATGGTAAAAGCTGGACTTCACTTAAAGGAATTACCAGAGGAGCAAAAGTGGACAGAAGATTTGGATAAGGTTTCCTTGATGGACAACTCTATAGAGGAAATTTCACCTGGCACGTCACCTAAGTGTCCAAGTCTTTCCACCTTGATCTTGAGAGAAAATCCTCTACGATTGATTGCAGATTGTTTCTTTACGCAAATGTGTGGGTTACGCACTCTCGATTTAAGTGAAACTGAAATTGAGAGCTTGCCAAATTCCATATCAGACTTGGTGAAGCTTAATGCATTAGTGCTCTCAGGTTGTTTTCGACTGGTATCAGTGCCATCGTTGGAAAAGCTCAAGGAATTGAGATATTTGGAGCTCTCATTTACTAGTGTTGAAGAAGTACCCCAAGGTATGGAAAGCTTAACCAACCTCAAGCGCTTAAGTTTGTTGTGTGATAGACTAAAGATGATACCGACGGGGACTTTGCGTAGACTCACACATCTTCAGCTGCTCGAGTGGCCAGATCATTTAGATGTACTGATGGAAGAAGTTGAGACATTGAAACAGTTGCAAGTTTTAAGATGCAGGTTAAATAGCGTACGTGATCTCAATCGGTTAATCAACTCACGACGAAATTTCAAGCCACTCTATTTCTACGATATTACAGTTGGTTCTCGAGAAATGGTTAAACTAAGAAAGAGAAGTGGACCATGTAAATTTTTATATTTTGGAGAAAACGGTCTCATGGAATCCTCTTTAGACACAGATAAGAATATGCTGCCGCAAGATATTGAGTATTTGTGTTTTTGTAGCAGTGGCTTAAGTGGTTGCTTATTGGATGAATTTCCAACTTTGAGCTCTGCTAGAGATTTAAAAGAATGCGGGATAATGGCGGAGGATAAAATAGAGTGCATTACGAGGTTAGAGGAAGAACAACAATCTAGAGGGGTCCCATTCCAAAGCCTTAAAAGGTTGCATCTGATGGAATTGCCAAATTTAATTGGTCTCTTCAAGTGGGAAGCAGTTGCTGCACCTCTTCCACGTGGAACATTTTCCTGTCTCCGATGGTTAGATATTTGTGGTTGTCATAAAATTAAGAAGGTTTTCCCTCAGAGTTTGGTACATAATTTCCATAACCTCGAACACTTGGGTGTCGGGAACTGTGCACAAATGGAGGAGATAATAGAAGATGACAAAAATGAAGGAGCTGATATCACATTACCAAGGTTAAAGACCTTTTATCTGGAGAATCTGCCACAAGTAAAGAGCATCTGTAAGGGAAAGATGATTTGTGATTCCATTGAGAGTGTTTCGTTGGGGGACATTAAAAATATAAAAGAATTCCCTTTATATTTACCGCTACTTGATGGACAGCTATCTCCTCCCTCACGTCTTGCATCAATCTATGTAACTGGAGACAAAGAATGGTGGGAATCATTGGAGTGGCCTCAACACAATGCCAAAAATGTTCTTCAACGCTTGGTTAGATTCCAAATCGACGGTACGTCTGATGTTTCCAGTCCACAACCTCATTATTTTTCAACAACTTATTTCTTTCTTTTGGTCTCTCTTAATAATTAATTCTAAAAATAATTCTTCAACAACTTATTTCTTAAAAAATTGGTCTCAAACAGATCCTAAATATATCTAAGAACAAAAGGAGTGACATACAAATTCAACAAGCAAGACTCTCTACTTATGGTAGAATTATTTGATGACACTGAAAACAAATAATCAAATGATCAAATTAATTTAGAATTACTATTTTTATCAGTTTATTGTCTATATTTAGCATCTGTTTTGGTTTAGATAAAAATAAAAAAATTTAATAGATTTAGAATTAATTGCAAAGGTATTCATTCCATGAATTGTGTGGTTAAAAACTTAAAATTAATTTTTGACTTTGACTTAGATTTAATTAGTAAATAACATAATTGCATTTAGATATAAAGTTAGACAAAAAAATTTTGGATAATAAACCTAAAAGTTAAATAAAATACTATCAATGCAATTTTAATATTAACATTAGTACGTAAAATAAAATTATACATATTCAGTTTTGTGTTCATACTCCATCATTTTACTTGATAATTGATTCTCATAATGTCTAGGATTGACTCGTGCATCTTCACCTCTTGATTTAAGTTAATTATTGAGTCGTGCATTTTCCTTGTCATTTTTTTTTATTACATGATGTTCCAAAATTATAACTTGTTCTTTATGGATAAAGGCACTCCTGGCATGTATTTTTGGAATAAGGAGTGGAATGCACAACTCATTTGGATGCTTCGGAGACAGGAGAGGGGGAAAGCCAATGCTAAAGTTGTACTTTGATGAACATTTTAGACATTTTATCGCTGTCCAAATGTGATTGGGAACTGCTTTATTTTCATTTTCTATGGGTATCTGTATTACAAATCCTAGGTACACTATTGCCTTTACTCTTAGGATTTAGTTACATAATATATCAACTTATGCTTTGGGAAACTCATTTCGGAATTTGTGTAAAAAGTTCATTAATTTAGCTATAAATTATTCGGTTGTATTACATATACATCATGATATCATTGCTTATAGATTGATTTATAAGTATATGATGTGGTGAATTAGAATTGAATCAAAATCTCTTCAGCAAAAAAAATTAAATTAAATTAAATTAAATTATGTGACTCCTTATGTACAAGTAATATTATTCTAAATTATTTAGATAATTGGTTTGTCCTTAAATGGTTTTTCCTTGAACTTAATGACACACTGCAAGTGGCTCCTAAACATCAATATTTAGCCCTTATTTCATACAAATTAAAAGCTAGATTTTACTCTAAGTTAAAGTCAAAAATTAATTTTAACCACGTATTTTATGGAATCTATAACTTTCCTGTCACAGATTTCAGAAGTTTTTATCAAAATTTACTAAAAATTTGATTTTAATTTCCATCAAATAGGGACGTAGTCACTAAATTTTATGATGTTCCCATTAATCACCCAAGTTGGAAAGTTGTTTTTTTCACATTGTCACGGTTGGCATGTAATGAATTTGAAAATTTTGCTTTAGTAATATATCCAAATTTAAAAAAGACAAAGGGCCCCTGATTATGTTGCTACCGATTTGTTTCTAGCATTATTTCGGCAACCTGGGACTGGAAATTTCCCAAATTATTTGTTATAATATTATGTACTGGACGATTATATTTGCATCACAGTTTTTATTCGTTACAATGCATATCAATTGCAATTACTCTTATCAATCTTTATTCATTGTACCATTTATTTTCTTTAACTTTTTTCGACGATATCTTATTTTCACCATTCCATAAATTAGCACATCTCGTTGTTGATGAAGATTTTTCAAAATATTATATGTGTGCGCTTTAAAATTCGGGATATATTTTGTCGCACTTTAATATTCATTGAATTTTAAATATGTGGTTGGCAAATTATTCGTTTTACACCTCTAATGGATGTTTTTGATGGAAATCATTACGAGATACACGATGTATGTAATGATCATTGGAAGGTGTTAAAAGCTGAAAATATAAGTGTTGCAATTTAAAATAAATTCAAAACCTAAGTATGAAAATACGGGGCAATAATTATTATTTTTTTTTTTTTGGTATGAATATATGTGGTATAATTTCCCTATTGTAATATCTAATTTTAGACATGTAGTGCTTTAAAAATGTTCGATTACTTAAAGTAAAAGTGTAGAAAAAGAAAATGGTGTTGGACTAGAAGAAAAGATGGAAGAAAACCTCAGTAGGAGGACAAGATGGTGAAGTAGAAGAAAAGAATTGATTAAAAAAAAAGAATAAAAAAATTCTGACTTGTAAACGTTCTCGGCATTATTGAGCTGACTTTCACCTAATCGATTATTTTTTTAAAACAAACTCTAAATTAGCACATATGCTTCTCCCTCAACCCATAGTTTTCTGCCATTAATTCATCTTAATTAACTGTACTCTTCTTTTAATTTATTGAGATTGAAAGCAGATTGAGCTTATAAAAGAATTGCTTAAAGATTTTATTGATTAAAGGTAAATATATATTAATCTACTCCTGCATCTATTAATATGATTTTGTTGATTGATTTTCAATGATATAATAATTTGGCTATTTCTTCTTATATATATATACTCATCTCATCTCAGAATTAGCGTATTGAGTACTTCTCAATCGAATTGAAGAAGATTTGGAGCCATTCAAAGAAGTAGGTCAACTTGTTGTTTATCTTGTTAAGTTCCATCTTCATATAAAGTATAACATTTATAATTTAAAAGAAAGGGAGAAATTAATTGATATATTTATTGGATATTGTATAAAGAAGATTATTCCATTATTAGTTTTTTTTTTTTTTTAATTTATCAAACATCTAAAATAACTATGGTTGTTTGATAATAAGGAGTTGGGACTTGAAAATCAATCCCAAATTGAGCCTTTATTTACAACTTGATTATTGAATATTATAGAGAGTTTATCTACAACTTCATCAAAAAGTTCCAGTTGTTAGAAATATCCCCTCATCGTGAGAATCGAGTTTATGGTGAGTTTTATCGGCTTTCCCATTCAATAATATTTTAATGGATTTTTCTTTTTCTTTTCCCCTCATTTTTTTCTTAAGGATGGCTACATACTGATACTCTTTATATGTCTCAGAAAAATCTCTAATAAACTAGTTTCTACATTTTAATAATATATTACCTAATCGAACTTTTTTTTTTTTTTAATATTTCAACAATGTGATAATGGCAATTTTTAATGTTTCTGCAAGAGTTCAATTTTTATTGGAAAGATATCAACGTTTTCTCAAAATATAATTTGTCTAGATAATAGCAAAAGTGTCACATTTGTATTCGACTGTATTTACATGGTATATTCGTAGGAATTCATATGGATCAATTGCTAAGCACTATCAGAGACTTGGAGGGAAATATACAAACTTTTACTAGAAAAATTGAATTGCTGAAAAGTCGAGCAGCAGATTTGCACGTAGAATCACAAAATGCAGCACATCTTTCTGGAAAAAAAAGGCAAGAGAGAGGTTGAAGATTGGTTGATTAACGTCGGAAGATGTATACGAGAATTCGAAAGCTTGGAACAAGAAGTACAATCCAACAGATTTTATCTTGCTTATTCACAACAAAAGTTGGCAGAAGGAGTTGAAAGAATGATCAAGGAAGTGGCAGAGCTTGTTGAGCAAGCGGATTTTTCTGGAGGGCTTTTTCTTGAGGATAATGAGAGTATTGGGTTAAAGTTGCAAGATCTATTTTTAGACGAAAAATGGTAGTTCGATTGCTCTGTTGGAATCTGGTTTCGAGTTCTATCCATAGATCAAACGGGGTAGCACAATAAACAAGGCTACTAGCAAGGGTCTTTTCTATGGAGTGGAGGTGCCACGACATGATCATGTCGCAACATCGATCCCAGAGGGCTGAAGCAGTGGGATCGGTGGGTTTGGAGAGAGTTCCGTTAACAAACCCCAGCTTATTCTTAGCATTGAGAGCCCGAGTAACTGCCCGGCGCCAAGCGGAGTAATTATCACCATTCAATGGTGTATCGACAAGCACATTACTGGGTTGATCGGAGGAGTGAAGAAAATATGGCGAGGAGGCATCTGTGATTGCTTTGGTGATGTCAAGAGTGGGTTGAGCAACCATCGGAGGTAAGATTGCTAAACCTATGCGTCTGATACCATGTTAAAGTGCTGAATGAGTGTGGACTTTTCATTGATTTGGTAATTGTGGATACAATGCATATATGCACAAAAATAATAAAGTCTAAATAAGGCATTTCACAATTACAGTGGATGAAATCTCGGTATGGAGAAGATCTTGGGCGATAATTCTGGTAGAATGGCAGGATATACGTAATACTGTCCATCCGTCTATCCATGATAGCTGGAAACAACAGCTGACGAGGATCAATGGGAGGATTCTGGCGGGGATCGGTGGGTGCCACAGTCGACTTTTCTTTCCGAGGTGTCCTATTTGGTTTTATTGGCAAATTTTTCACTTCTTTACATACCTTATCTAAAATTATAAGAAAATCCCGAACAATAAAAAATAATCGTATACCCTCATCCTTCCCAGCATTTCCATGAAAGTAATCTGCTGTTCTCTTTACCAGAGCTATTATTCTTCTCTTCCTCGAGTAACCACGTAACATCAACCTCGGCATTCTGAACAAAACTTTTTAAAGTCTGGTGAAACCCATTTTCTTCTGGTATATTTTTCATTTCCAAATTTTGAAAACCTTGGGCTTTTATGAGTGACTGACTATGCTTTGAAACAATTCCTGTCAAGCCCTCAGCATCTAATATTGCAGCCCTCCTTGCATTTTCAAGCTCACCACCCAGACCTTAGACAACCTGCAGGCCAATATGCCATGACACATGTCCTGTTGGTTTTTTATGGGGAGGATAAGTTGAATCAATTGAAACAAAATATTAATTTGATAGAGCCTCTTCATTTATAAACACTGTACAAAAAGTTTGATTATGACCTAGTAGTCTTTCTCCAATCACTCCCAAGACAAAGGAAACTCTGATTAAATGAAATCTTATCTTATTTTGAAATATCCATTTATTGTATTGTGACGCGACACTTAAATTTGTAAAATAATGACTACTTTTCCATCAATTTTGGGAACGCAGGTGGCTCTAAAGGGACCATTTTTATTCAATTCGACCAATGGTTGTGGAGCATTTGCCTAGAAACATCTCCAAAAATTGATACTAACAACTATGAAAGTTACTATGCACATCATTTCATTTCTGGTAGAAACAATTTTGTAGCAATTAGATTATAAGTTGGAAGTTTGAGATAAAAACATTTTAAATGTGGCTTCTTTTCAGGGCATCATTTGGCATTTTCGATGGAACTTCTCAAATTTTGTGTATTTATGAGTTTTTGAATTGTTATTTTCTAGGATGGGACCGAATGTTTTCGAGAAGAGAGCATAATTTATTTTGAAGAATTTTATGTTAGCTATTACTAATTTAATAATCATATCTTGTCCATGATGATGGTTCGTGTCCAAAAAGTTCATTATGATAACATGAAAGATTTTTCTCATTTTGAAATGAGAAAAAAATAATAAATATAAAGTATGACTTGCTCCTCATTTTAAAGTATGCAAACATTATATTTGAACATAATTTATTATCAATGACTAAATGTGCTAGCAATTGAAAATCACGAATAAAATAAAATAGACGATATTTAGTCCAATTCAAAAGTAGTGCAACAAAAGAGTAATGTAGTGCAATTAATCAGCTGAAGGGATATTGAACTCCTATAAAAATTAATAGATAAATGTGTGCTTGGTGTTTAAAGAATAAGTTAAAAACATTTTTTGTGGACAGGGGTGGACCTGGGGAGTCCTATAGGGTCAACTGACCCCCCTAGTTTTCTGAATTTTTTTTTTTTTTTTTAGAATGTCAAAATTTAAAACCTAAGCTATAAATATATTATGCAATCGACATCTCCAAATTTAACTTTGTACCTTTGTCTCTCTTTCAATCTGTCGAATAGAGACTACCATTACAATTTACAATTTACACAACATTTAAAAATTTGATTGTGACCTCCTAATTCAAAGTGTTTGGGTCCGTCATTCTCTTGGATACCATTATTAAGATAATGTTGAACACTAATTAATTTGAGGGTGTGCCTGTAGTAAAACTATCATTCAGTGGCAAATTCGGCCCATGTCAGCATAAAGACAAAATCTTCATTTTGAGATTCCTATTATTCTATATAAACACTGCATTGCAAATTTGCAATCACAACTACAACTTTGCACTCTACTCCGTGCGTGTAAATATGAAGTCTTTATTAGAATTGATCACATGTCATGGTTCTTCATCCACTGAGTCCGAATCGCGACAGCCAGCTGAGGAATTCAGATCGCTGGTGGCAACGCGAGATCGCCGCTGCGTTGGACGTAAGCGGGGGAAGGTGATGGGTATGAGTGATTGGAGTCCATCTTTGTCATCAATTTCTGAAAACAATAAATTGGGCGAGACGAATAATCAACCGCGGCCACCAATCGTAAGGTTTAATAGAAACCTCATGAGGAAAGTTGGATCCATAGCAAACAAAGATCAGGACCCTTCTTCACATCACGATGATACCAGGTCAAAATTACTAATTTAAAGTTTTTAATTAATAAATATGGTCTAAATTAATAAAAAAGATCCAGAAAATTCAAATCGCTTAAATTACTCAATTTTATTTTGTTTTTACAGGCGAGCTTCAATTTCAGCAACCATGCCTGCATTGTCTCCAACAGCTTTCCTCTTTTGATTGCTCCTTCTTTGGTTTTTCACCCAGTTCCAAGTAAATTTTGTACATGTTGTGTATGTGTATATATCTTGACGTTAAGTAGAATATGGATTAGCAAATAATCTTTTATTTAATAAACATTTAAATTTTTAAAAGAAGTGCTTCAATAAAGCTGGATTGAGTTTCAATACAATGTGGGGTGAAAATTATTGTCTGATTTTGTCTTTATATTTTATGGAGATTATAAATTTATAATGAATTCCAAGCAATTACTAAATTGAAAATTAATCAGTTTTTGTTACACTAATTATATTGATTAGTCAGCTGCAGTAACTTAAAGATGACATATTTAGTATGTAATAGTCGACATATTATATAGAAAAATCGATTAAACTTTAACTTTAATTTTTTGATAATTTGTTGTTCAGTCAATTGTTTGTTATAATCGTTAATAAATTTTCCTAATAGACATGTGACCCCATGGACCTAGAGAGATATTTCATAGCGAATCTGTATTTGACCCTCATTAATTTCCATTCCATTAAATTTCGTTTTTCACTCTTTCTTATTTTCAACCACACAATCTTCCATAAAATAATATTACACGTAAATCAAAAAAATTTCCTTCTTTTTCAACCACTCATTTTTCAAAAAAAAAAAAAAATACTATTCCACCCATTTTCATTTCTACAAAATAGGGGCCAAAAGGGGGCTAATATTATTGTATGTGATGTTTAAATTTTTATCCTAAAACCGAGTAATAGTTGACATATTATGCATTGCAATTTGAAAGATCTAATATCGGCTATCATCACTTCTAATCGTTTAAGCTTGGCCATCTCATTCGAAGGAGCGTGAAATATACGTGTTTCGCGCGGGTTAACTCGCTAACAATTAAAGGGGATCAGACGATTGTGTAAGGGACGAAACCTCTTGAGACAAAGTCCCAAAAAGGGGTGTTCTTTTATTGGCGATGAACTTTACAATTGGAAACGAAAAACAACGTACCTTCAAGGGGCGCAAGCACACGAGTTACAGAAAGGAAAGTATTTAAGTCTAAAAGTTAAAGAAATGAAAATTACATATTCTCTTGTTCGAGAGTTTTGGATTCGGTCCTTTGCTTCCACGCCTTTTCTCCCTTTTATACCTCATAGACGATCTCTTTGTGATTAACTACTCTGAAAACTGCTTGATCGTCCTATAACTACCCACTTTCTTTGTAGTGGCCATTTTGTCATGAAACCGCCTTTTAACTGCTGCCATTATCTTTCATCGTCCAACTGCCTTCGATTGACTTCCTTGAGTTGTGGAACGTGATAAGGCTACTTTAACAACTGCCTTGATAACTGCATTCCTTGATAATTACGATGCGTTATGTTTGTTGACACCTTGGGCGACTTGAAGGTTTGGGCGAGAGTAGAATAACAGCTCTGAGCGACCGTATGACACCCGTTCGTTCAGATTCTGAGCGACTTGCAAACTTGGGCGATGGCATTACCGCATTCTTGGGCCTCTTGTTTGGGCCTTCACCTTGACTCGTTTGATTGGACTTCATTCTTTGGGCCGTCTGTTTTGGGGATTCTCCAATTGGGCTTTACTCCTTGGGTTGTTCGACTTGGGCTGAATTTTTATGTGTCAACAATTACCCCCCAATATGGCAGAATCAATAATAATTATTAAATTTTGCCATATTCACTTCACGTCTCCAGCAACGTTAGCGATTCCCAAAGAATTTCAATCATTGTTTCCCTCTATAACTTGAAAAGGTGCGTCGCTTTGCAAACCCTTATAAACTTCAAACACGCCATTTTGCTGCTACCAAATCACGTTTCATATTTCTTGCGCATCCTTCACGATTCACTGTTCATCTTTTGCTTCCTTGTTACGTAACTCTGAAAAGCTTCGTTCCTTCTTCAATGGCTACTTCGTCATCTCAAGCTAGCGACTCCTTTAATTTTGATGACTTTCAGAAACTCCTGAGTCGTCCATACGTAACCCCAAGTTTTCTCGTGTCCGCCGACGTTGGACGTAATGAGTTTTACTTGGGTCCTTTCTTCAACAATGCGGAGGCAGTTGAACAGGCGACGGTGGGTTAGCTGTTTCCTTGCACTCATGGCCCTCCTTTTCTGAATTCTTTGCCGCTGGGGCCACTTCGTGAAAGAGATATTCGCACTTGGCCCAAATCTGACGTAGCTTTTCGTAGGTGGCATGCTCGTCTTGTGGGTCATGGTCCTACTAAGGCACTTTTTGATAGCGCTAGTATTTCTGATTTGTTGGAAGTCTCTATTCGCCCTCCTACTTTTGATTCAGCGCTTTTTCCGATTGCTCTGAGCTTTTGGTCCTCTGAATATAACACCTTTATTTTTCCTCTTGGCCCCTTGAAACTAAACACCATCACAGGGACTTCAAGGTCACCAGGAACAAACTATCAAAAGAGACAATCGATTAAATCTTGCCCACATGCCTCCACGTTCCATCACACCTTCGTTGTGAATCGTTGATGCTCCAAGCGCTGGTCAAACAGCTTCACCTTGACCTGCTGAGTTTGAATCTGGTCTTGGTTTCCTCAATTGACCTTTCGCATTGGCCGAAAATCGTAATTCCAGATTTGAACAAATTGAAATTTTTGGACAATTTATGGATTCTATCTTCTGCTTTTGTTATCAGCCAATTTTGTATAACCTATTGCTTTGATATCATTTTAAAAGGAAATTAGCACCAAGATTTTAATTGTGCAATTCAAATCAGTTTCAACCAACAATAACCTATCAAACACTAATCAAAGAGAGGCTTGAACCCACAACTATATTCGACTCCAGTTGCGACTTACTGGCACTCACAAAGAACACAATATGGTTATTAATTGAGCCCATGAAAGAGGAAGAGAATAGAGGAAGCAAGTGGTAAACTCAAGCAAGAGGAACAAAGATGGCTACTCACTTTTTGTACTTCAGTGGGCAATTAAAACACACAAGATTTGTGGATGCAACTCCACAAAGGAAGGGAGAAGAAAAGGAAGTAATTGTTTAACACAAATCAACAAGAATGGCTGACCTTTTCTCTCAACTGCAGCTCCACCTTTTGGACAGGAAAAGACTTCATTACATAGGTTAGAAACCAAATTGGGCCAACAACATTTTAAAATCATCATTCGAGATTTATTGGATATTAAAATCCAACATTAGGCAATGGAACTTCTTAATTCTTTTAGTTCATTTTTGGGAAATCATAATCCGATAGGCATTTCACGTGATATACATTGTTGTAATAGATTTGTTAGAATTATAAATTATAAATAAAACTTGTGTAACTATCTTAAGTGAAAGACCATATTTATAGGGTTAAAAATAACTATAAAAGGAAAGGTTGTGTAATAATCACACAATTAACTCTTAAAGAAAATAATTCTACACAAATGGAAAAGTATCACGAAGAATGTTATCTTTACATATCTTCAAAATTCCCTAAAAAATATGGTGCAGTAGAAATTAAATTTAGTTCAAAAATTTAATTAATCTGAGCAAATAGTCTCCTTAAGACCAAAAGGATGCACCAAAATTATATGAACAATACTTGCCAACTCAGCCAACCAAACAATCCGAAGTTCGTGAGAATGAAAATCATCATCCACCAATCTGACACGAACCATCACGACTTAAAGGAGACACCTACAAGTACAACAACAAAGTCCAAAATAAGAACCTCAAGTAGTTTTAATAACTAGACATGTCAAGTTTATACCTTGTTTAATAGTATTGCTTCAAAAATCCGTGGGTTCAATTAGTATTCCACACAAAGATGAAGGAGAGAAAGAATAATTGAATAGCCAGGTACACAAGGAGGCTAAGACAATATATGATGGGTTATAACTTGGTGGAAGAAGAAACGAGACTTTGTGATCAATGATTGAAAAAACTATCAAAGTGTGACAAGATTTTTGTGATCCACAGGGTTCAAAAGACAGACAAGGCATAATAGACCACTCAAAATACTAATAATGTCCAACCAACCACATAATCTGTAACCTTCAATTGTTATATTTGAGTAGCAATTGCTGCATATTACCAAAAACACACTGTGCGTTGAGAATTTCAAAAAAAAGAGAGGCGAAAATCAAATTCAACACTATTGAAAACCAAGGAAATTGGTCTGACCCGGTCAAAAATTGGAAAGTACAAGTCTAGACTGGCTGGTTAAAGTCGTTGAACCAACATGATGAGACTGGATAGATCTGTCACGTGGAGCTGATGTCTCTAAAGCATGGTGAGGCCGAATTCACACTTAGCACATGAGAGCATGCGAAGGCATCTAGGAGCAATTGTGACGAACATGTGTGAGAAAGAAAGGAGCACGGAGGCGGACACCATGGCGCCCAAGCTTTTGCACGAACATGGCACCATGGCACCCGACTCAGCTATATATATAGCTGTTTTTCCCTTCATTTTTACACCCGATTTTTGAGAGAAAATAGAGAGAGCTTGGATAGAATTTAACAAGTAAGAAGCGATGTCTTCTTTTTTGTAATTTTGTTCCTTATTAATGAACATTAATTTCTTGTGCATTTATTTGATGTTTACTTTCTAATCATCAATTCTTTAAGCATTTAACTGCTTTGCACTAAGAATTTTGTCTACTCCCTTTTGAGATTCCCACTACTGTTCTCAAAACTTAGGGCCATTTAATTCCGTCTATTAGACAGAAATGTGGCTGTTCATATTCTGTCTCTTCATCTTCACCCCCCTATAAATGTTTCGCATTTTTCATCCTCTATCTTCATCTCCTCATTTTCTTATTCGAAACCAATTTACTACCATTTCTTGGCGTTCTGACGATCAATCTGATCCGAAAATGGACTGCTTAGTCTGTCCGCCTTATACTTACTTTGATGTCACCTTTGGTATGGGAGGTATAGGAAATATTTTCTGGCCAGCAGCGAAGTTCTTTCCTGCAAAATTCTTCCCGTCGTCCCTTTGTTCTTCACAAGGGGTCGATGATGGAAGGCAATTTTTGGGCTGCTCATGGGCCATTTTGCTTGCTGAGAGTGCTTCTCAGCTTGCCTGCTGAGAGTGTTTCTCAGCCTATTTGCTCGTTAATGCAGCGATGCATTTAGGAAGGTGGTGAGGCCAGTACACCCTCTTACTCGTCAATCCCACCACTGCAGCGATGCATTTAGGAAG